TATGTAACTGATTTGGTAGATGATTACCCTGACTCTTATACAGTTAATACTGCTCTTGTGTTAGATAGATAGATAGAAAAATTAAATGTTTCTTAAAATTACATTAAATACACGTGTAGTAAGGCTGTTTCGCAAGAGTTTTTTTGTTTGTTTGTTGAAATTCGCTCAAAACTACTCGAGGGCTATTGCGCCAGCTGTCTCTAATTTAGAAGTAATAAACCAGAATGGATGCAGCTAGTCAACCCACCCGCCGCCAACTTTGGGGCTACTTTTTTGCTAACGAATAATTGTATTGACCGTCACATTACAACACCCCAAAAGCTGATAGGACGAACATATTAGATGACAAGATTCGAACCTGCGATTCAGGAGCTCTAACTACCATGTGAGGTTTGTTTTGCAGCAAAGAACATTCGCAATAGACATTTCTCAGAATAGTTAAAGGATAATCACAGTTTTATACATTCTAAATATAAGCAGGTAATTCTACTGTTATTAGTTTGTTTGTTTGTTTGGAATTTCGCGCAAAGCTACACGAGGGCTATCTGCGCTAGCCGTCCCTAATTTAGCTGTTTAAGACTAGAGGAAAGGCAGCTAGTCATCACCACCCTCCGCCAACTCTTGAGCTACTCTTTTACCAACGAATAGTGGGATTGACCGTCACTGTATAACGCCCCCACGGCTGAAAGGGCGAGCATGTTTGGTGGGACGAGGATTCGAACCCGCAGATTGCGAGTCGAGCGCCCTAACCACCTGGCCATGCCAGGCCTTCTACTGTTATTAAGTCCACCGGTGTCTCAGTGATAAGTCTGAGGGCTTAGAACGTTAAAATCAATTTCGAAAATCGTGGTGGACAGAGCACAAAGAGCTCGTTGTGTAGCTTTGAGCTGAGCAACAAAAACAACTGTTATTACACAATGTCAGTGGCTCCCCCTGAGTTCATTTCAGTGCAAAACAAGTGTCACGAGGCCTGACACATGGCCTAACATAAACATTTTAGTTATATATAAAAGTAAAATAAACACGGTGTTGCCAGTTTGAAGAAAAACATAGTAGATAAGTAGATTTGTTTGTTTGTTTTGAATTTCGCGCAAAGCTACTCGAGAGTTATCTGTACTAGCCGTCCCTAATTTAGCAGTGATAGACTAGAGAGAAGGCAGCTAGTCAACGCCACCCACCGCCAATTCTTGGGCTAATCTTTACCAACAAATAGCGGGATGGATCGTTACATTACAACGCCCCCACGGCTGAAAGGGCGAGCATGTTTAGTGATGGGATTCGAACCCTATACTACGAGTCGAATGCCCTGACCACCAGCCCATGTTAAGCGCGCATTTTTTGAACTGCGTTACAACTTAGGGGGTGATTAGCTCTGTATCGTTATGAGCTATCGGCTGTGTTCACCGTCGGAAATCAAACCCCTGATTTTAGCGTTGTAAGTACGTAGACTTACCGCTGTCCCACTGGGGTGCTTGTCGATACGATAACCATGACTTTGAAATGGAAGGCAAAAGAATGAAATAGAAGGCAAAAGAACGAAATAGAAGGCAAAAGAATAAAATAGAAGGCAAAAGAATAAAATAGAAGGCAAAAGAATGAAATAGAAGGCAAAAGAACGAAATAGAAGGCAAAAGAATGAAATAGAAGGCAAAAGAATAAAATAGAAGGCAAAAGAATGAAATAGAAGGCAAAAGAATAAAATAGAAGGCAAAAGAATGAAACAGAAGGCAAAAGAATAAAATAAAACGCAAAAGAATGAAATAGAAGGCATGAGAATGAAATAGAAGGCAAAAGAATCAAATAGAAGGCAAAAGAATAAAATAGAAGGCAAAAGAATGAAATAGAAGGCAAAAGAATAAAATAGAAGGCAAAAGAATGAAATAGAAGGCAAAAGAATGAAATAGAAGGCAAAAAAAGACTGAATTTGACAAGAACAAATCTATTCTAATGGATGAGCTGCCGGACATAAGAAACACGTGGAATAAATATCAAGAAAGGACAAAACAGACAGACTTTCGGCACATTATGGAACTACAGTATAAAACTTTAATGACAGTTTTAACTGTCTGTGACTGTTTTGATAGGGTCAATGAATAATTATCAACCTAAAAAAATACCAAACTAACACCACATGTGGTAAACTATGGTCGTTAAGTAAGTCGTATATGGTAGGCCTACCGCAGCATTTGACTCCATTTGACATTTGACAACAATCCCGAGCGTGTGAAAATTGGATAATTCTCACCACACGCACCACTCTAGCGGAACTCCTGTGTATTACGAGATTTAATGGGACGTCGGATTCTAGAAAAGAGGTTGAGAGTGTGGGGGGAAGTGCTGAAGAGAGGCGGGCCACGCGCTTCTTGATCTGACTGGCCCACCCACATTTTTTTTTTCGCGCTGTTCTCTATAGTTTAAGATTGTAATTGTAGTTTTATTTACAAGAAGAGAATTTTTTTAAAAAAAATGTGGTTTTCAAGCTATTCGATTTAGTAACAAAGAAAAAAAAGCTTTTTGTGGTCAGTTTTGGAAAACAAACATATTTTGAACAATAATATCAAAGAAGAAGAAGAAGATTTTGAAAACATTACATCCGATTTCTTTCTGCTACTTATCTGTTCCCAAAGCCATTTTACTTGAAGATATACCATACATGGCGAGTTCTGGAAGTCTTCACTGTGGTAAAAGTTTAAGTGCTACAAGCTACTAGCTTTACAGTGTAGAGAAAATGATAACAGCTCTGAGAGCTATGATTTAACCTATCAGCGGTAAACTTGTGAAGTTATGAGGAGTTTCAACAGGCGTGAGAAAATATGGATAAGCCTTATTTTATTTGAAATAAACCCAACTAGTTAATTTATGGAGTATTTTAATTCATTTTAGTTTATGTTTTGTTTCCACTACTGGGTAGTAGTCGAACCTCGACACTGACTTGAAAAATACGAACTTTCGTCACAAACATTAACAAAACATAATATGAAATGGGTTTTAAGTAAGCCCCCAATTTGCACAGTGTTAAATTTTCGGACTTATAACACTAGAATCCAGGTTTCGATACCCATGTTGGACACAGCATAGATAGCCCATTGTGTAGCTTTGTGCTTTTAACTAAGAGCAAACAATTGTTAAAGACTAACATATTTATACCAATAGTTGCTTCTTAAAGGCTTTCGTTAATATTCATTTCTAAATAATCGTGTTACCGTTATTTTTCTCAAAATGCGTACTAGCAGCTGTACCTTAAAGACTCATGTTTACCAACAGCTGTCCCTTAAATACTCATGTTTACCCACAGCTGTACCTTAAAGACTCATGGTTACCAACAGCTGTGCCTTAAAGACTCATGTTTACCAACAGCTGTGCCTTAAAGACTCATGTTTATACCAGCAGCTGTACCTTAAAGACTCATGTTTACCAACAGCTGTCCCTTAAAGACTCATGTTTACCAACAGCTGTCCCTTAAATACTCGTGTTTACCAACAGCTGTACCTTAAAGACTCATGTTTATACCAGCAGCTGTACCTTAAAGACTCATGGTTACCAACAGCTGTACCTTAAGGATTCATGGTTACCAACAGCTGTGCCTTAAAGACTCATGTTTACCAGCAGCTGTACCTTAAAGACTTGTGTTTACCAACAGCTGTACCTTAAAGACTCATGGTTACCAACAGCTGTGCCTGTAAGACTCATTTTTACCAGCAGCTGTACCTTAAAGACTCATGTTTACCAGCAGCTGTACCTTAAAGACTTGTGTTTACCAACAGCTGTACCTTAAAGACTCATGGTTACCAGCAGCTGTACCTTCAAAGACTCATGTTTACCAACAGCTATACCTTAAAGATTCATGGTTACCAACAGCTGTACCTTAAAGACTCATGGTTACCAACAGCTGTATTTTAAAAACTCATAGTTACCAACAGCTGTACCTTAAAGACTCATGTTTATACCAGCAGCTGTACCTTAAAGACTCATGTTTAGCAACAGCTGTGCCTTAAAGACTCATGTTTATACCAGCAGCTGTACCTTAAAGACTCATGTTTACCAGCAGCTGTACCTTAAAAACTCATGTTTATACCAGCAGCTGTTTCTTAGGGACTGGTGCCTGTCGTTGTTCCTTACAAATTCGGAAAAGCAACTGGTACTTAAAGTCTAAGTAAACCTTTTTATATAACAGCAGTTTATTTCAGCTAATATCAAAAATGGTTCCATTCAATACAATCTCGGGTACTCCATATCTGCATTCTTATACTGAATTCCGTTTTACAAGAAATCTTAACGTAAATTCTCTCTTTCAGGCGCTAAAAGGAGCTCCATGCTTACGATATCCGACACCCATAATTGTTTCGATGGCACTCAGTCCCGGTGCTCTTGCCATAATTTAAGTGTGTCTCGTGCCATAAACCAGTCTTACTGGCAAGGTCCGTGCTATAATAACTGCACAGAATGAACTGTTTTATAAAAACCCAAGGCCGTGAAAGGAGTCCGAAATTTTAAAAGCACTATTATATGTGTAGATGGTTAGGTTTTTTTTTTAGGGGTGTGGTTTTCTGAGAATTTCTTGACACTGTTAATTTTTAACCTCCGAGGATATACTAACTGTCTTTAACCTAACACCAGTGACTGTATTTTTTTTTCTTCTTCTCGAAACGACCACGCGTTAGCTTCTTCTGGGGGAAATAAATTGCTTCTGGTTCTTGTCATGAATTTACTCACCAGGGGGCTTTAGCTGCGCTACGAATGAAAGTGGTATTTTATTGCACGAGCACCAGAAAAGTGATAATATAATCCTGTTGATGCGGATTAATTACAGACACGTTCTCGAAGCAACTCTAACGAACCAGAAGTGTACTTATTGGCCAAATTATTTGTGACAATTGTTGATTTTTTTTCCCCTTCGGAGTATAAAGAAATGATTTTTACCGTAGTTTTTGTGTTTTTTATCACACTGGTCAGTGGTCATGCACAGCGACGCCAACAGCTCGAACACGCTGCGGGTTTTTTAATTACTACCGATCTTCCAGGTGGTGAGGTAAGACGGAGATTGAGATACAATCGGTTTGTTATTGACGAAGTGACCCACCAGCTTCCCAACCTGACCACTGGTCGGCTAAAACTACAGCAGATAACAAACAATCAAACTTCCGTTCGCATAATCTACGGTTCAGACGGGAAAGTTTCAAAATGTGAACTCTTATCGAACGTAAAACGTGAATTTTTAAGTGATTCCGTAATGGGGTACCAGAAGAACAAGTGTGAACTTTGTGTCGTGCGAAGCGTCCCTATCCACAAGTGGGATGAACTGCCCCCTGACCTAATGCCGCTACTGGACACGCGAGAGTTAAAGCAGCGATGTCACCGCAAGAGGATGGAGAGAAAGATCTCTTACTTGACCCGAGTGAAGCGTGGTTTGTATGTTCTCCCAGGGACTAACTGGTGTGGCAGTGGGAACAATGGGCGAGATTACCGGCAGCTCGGAGCCCACGCTGCCGCCGACCAATGTTGCAGGGATCATGACCATTGTCCATACATGATTGAGGGATTATCTACCAAGTTCGGCCTGTTCAATTTCCGCTTTTATACTATCAGTTACTGCAAATGTGACGAAAGGTTAGTTAAGCCTTTTTTTTTTTTAGATAAATCAAAACAAAATCCAACAATAGTTAACAAAGCTCATATTATGACCAGATGAGAAATGAATTACGAACACTTCGTAGTCAACACCACCCACCGCCAACTCTTGGGATACTCTTTACCAAGGAATAGTGGGACTGACCGTCACAATATAACGCCCTCGTGGCTGAAAGGGCGGGTATGTTCGGAAATGGGATGCGAACCCGTTATCATTAGATTACGAGGCGAGTACCATAATCACCGCCGGGTCATCATTACGAGCAGGGGTCAGTTATTATCAACCGGAATAGGTTTATATTACATATTACTTTCGGTGGAAAGAATGGACTGAAAGAAGCGTTTGAGGTCACTAAGCTAATTGTTTGTTTGTTTTGAATTTTGCGCAAAGCTACACGAGGGCTATCTGCGCTAGCCGTCCCTAATTTAGCAGTGTAAGACTAGAGGAAAGGCAGCTAATCATCACCACCCACCGCCAACTCTTGGGCTACTCTTTTACAAACGAATAGTGGGATTGACCGTCACATTATAATGCCCCCACGCAGATTGCGAGTCGAGCGCCCCCTAACCACCTGGAGATTCCGAGCCTCACTGAGCTAATAAGAAAAAAGCTGCGGAAAACACAGTGTGCACCGTATAATGTAAAGTTTAGTTTCACACACAAAACTAAATTCACAAATTAAACGAACCATCACGTTTGAAGAAAGATATTTTTTATGAATACCTTAACACTCAGTTCTTTGTCTTGTGTGCCTCTTTAGAAAACGATACAAACTTTGGAGTATGTCTGTTTTTAAACTTACTGAGGATACTGTTTGTGGATAGATATCTTAATGTAGTTTTCCTGATGAAGCGCTTTTCTTGGCAAAGTAATTCCCCTGAGAAAATAGCTTTCTTGGCAAAGTAATTCCCCTGATAAGTAGCTTTCCTGATAAAAGTGGTTTTCTTGGTTTAGTAGTTTCCCCTAATAAAATAGTCCTCCTTATAAAGCGGAACTATGCTAAAACTATTATTCGTACAAGATAATTTTTAGATAAGTTTGGCTACGTGTCATTTCTGCTGTGTAGGGGTGTAATGTAGTTAAGAATATCAGTAAAATTGTGTCATTTATTGTAAACGAATTAATTTAGTAAAAAACAAAACAATTTCTACTTGATGTACTTGGTTGTGAGCTCTGCAATGAAACTGTTTGTCTTATTATTACACGTACAACGAAACTGGACAGTTTGTCTTATTATTATTACATGCACAACGAAACTGGACAGTTTGTCTTATTATTACAAGTACAGTGAAACTGGACAGTTTGTCTTATTATTACACGTACAATGAAACTGAACAGTTTGTCTTATTATTACACGTACAATGAAACTGGACAGTTTGTCTTATTATTACACGTACAACGAAACTGAACAGTTTGTCTTATTATTACATGTACAATGAAACTGGAAAGTTTGTCTTATTATTACAAGTACAATGAAACTGGACAGTTTGTCTTATTATTACACGTACAACGAAACTGAACAGTTTGTCTTATTATTACATGTACAATGAAACTGGACAGTTTGTCTTATTATTACATGTACAATGAAACTGGACAGTTTGTCTTATTATTACACGTACAATGTAACTGGACAGTTTATTCTAAATGTAAATATCCCTCGGGAGTTCGGCACTAAACTTCAGGATTTAATACGCTAAAATTAAGTTTCGATTCCTGCATCAGACACAATACAAGTAGTCCATTGTGTAGTTTTGCACAAAAAATAACTAAATTCACATGAAAATAAAAAATGTGTGCCCGATTATCAAAATATAATTTGAAGAATCTATATAGAAAATATCAATAATAAAATTTAATTTCACAAATCTTCAACTTTAATATCGTATTTTAGTTCAACAATTATTCTCATCTTAAAACAACTCTTTTTTTTTTCTTCTTCTACTTCCAGGTTTCGATCCTGTCTGAAATTAGTTGGTACAACAGCGGCTAACTTCGTGGGCCGACTCTTTTTCAACATTATTCAAACTAAGTGTTTTCTGTTTCGTATAGAGAGAGTCTGTGTGACGAGGTCGTGGTGGGGGGGATGTCTGAAGTATGAGGAACAGAGAAGAGGTTACATACGAGAGGGGCTGCGTTATTGACCAACCACTTCGTCTAGAGTCTAGAGAAAGGAGATTTACTTGTATGTACGTGAGGTACACAAAGTCTAGAGTTGCATTACGACATGTTGTTCACTGTATGGAAGTATTCCCGTGGTTCTTACATTAATATTCTCAAACTTGAACTAACGATTCAAAGTATAGATGTCGCTGAAAAAATTCTTATGACAAACAACAGAAAACACAAACATTCAAACGGAGATCTGAAATCAAACTAGAACAGAAGGAGAAAACTTTACTAACTTTCTGATCCTCAGATATTAAGTCCAATAATAATTTAAATGAATTCCATCTCACCATTTCCTTCTCAAGTTTTATATGCAATACATTTCCGTTTTTCTTTTAAATATAATAGAAAATGACCGAGTACAAGCTATATAAAATGACAAAAAGTCCCAGCGACCTTTCTACCATTCATTATTCCCACCAATCAAAATGTCCGCAGTTTAAATAGTTTCGTTAGTTAAAGATAATTTAAGTGAATCGTGGTTGTTTTCTAGTGCTACTTTACGGTATTCAACTCCTCTTGAGTTGTTTGTGAGATACAACCTGTTTTATTTGATATTCCTCAATGCCTACCACACGCATGTTTATAGTAAACTACATTAAGTTCTTACCAAACTTACACGATGTCCTGATTTATAGCTACCTTTAAAATATTTCTGTTGAAAATGCTGTATTTACTTACGTTTAGATTTGTTGTTATTGTGAAAACGGTCGTTTCGTGTATTGTAGGTTAAATACGTGATGTTCGGGTCGTTTCGTGTATTGTAGGTTAAATACGTGATGTTCGGGTCGTTTCGTGTATTGTAGTTTAAATACGTGATGCCCGAGTCGTTTCATGTATTGTAGGTTAAATACATGATGTCCGGATCGTTTCGTGTATTGTAGGTTAAATACATGATGTTCGGGTCGTTTCGTGTATTGTAGATTAAATACATGATGTCCGGGTCGTTTCATGTATTGGAGGTTAAATACGTGATGTCCGGGTAGTTTGATATATTGTAGTTTAAATATGTGATATCCGGGTCGTTTCGTGTATTGTAGGTTAAATACGTGATGTCCGGGTCGTTTCATGTATTGGAAGTTAAATACGTGATGTCTGGGTAGTTTGATGTATTGTAGTTTAAATACGTGATGTCCGGGTCGTTTCGTGTATTGTAGGTTAAATACGTGATGTCCGGGTCGTTTCATGTATTGGAAGTTAAATGCGTGATGTCTGGGTAGTTTGATGT